TCATAGTAAACTCAAACGATGGAATCAAGGGTGCGTTCTTTTGGGAGAATCCAGATCAGGATTTCTGATCTGTGGCGTTAATTATTCCTTTCGAGCAAATCCATTTTCAGATCCGTGATCTATCAAAACCACTCTATACAAGGATTTATCGGATCACTGATCTGCGTGACTAAGGGTGCGTTCCTTTGGGAGGATCCGGATTAGGATTTGTGATCCAAGATCACATAGATCACGGTGCATGAAAAGAACAGAGTTTAAGACGAGCCATTCAGGGAAGAGCTCAATAACCCACGTACATACACAAGTCTTAAACTCCATCCAGAGGAGTAGTTATGCCCAAAGTTACTTCATGCTGAAAAAAGGGCTGCTAGTCTGCAGATCAGGCTCTATTTTGGCAAGTAAGTGCTCAGTATTTTCTTAATGAAAAATTTGCCTCCCATCTTAGATTTTAATGGCAGCAGAAGACTGGGGAGAGAAAGAAATTTATGCCAAGGGGAATGGTCACAAATAAGGAGGGGCGAACATGGGGAAATGAAGATTACACTGTCTTCTTGCCTGTCCCCAGCCCCCACCATCCACTCCAACTCCAAATCAAACATGGCTGGTTGGATAAACAATCCCTTGAGATTGTGCACTTCTGACATTAGCTCACCCCAATAAGATGCCTGCATTGCAGGCTAAGACCTGCATAAGCTTCAGCCCACTTAGCTTGGGGACAGACTTGGCCTTTGACAAAAAAAGGAGCAAATACATTTACCATTATGGGATGCTGAAGTAACTTTCAAGCAGGTTGTGACGAACGTTCAGCAAGCGAACTGAACTGAAATGAACTGAACTGTTTTGTTTTGTGTGATTATTTACTATCGTTTAAATTCTATTATCGTTTCATTGTTCATTCTTTTAATCATTTATTAGAGCGTATTTGATCGTGTTATTAGCCGCCTATCATGTTTAAAGCCTGTTGCTTACATAATCTCTGTAGTATCACATATCGGAGTGTCGGAGTAAGTTGTCGGGGTATAACCATCTAGAGTTTTCTATCGGAGTTATTGGAGTTTTCGGAGTAACTGGAGTCACTTTCCCACGGAGTTTCTTTTACCCTTTTTACGCAGGATCAAACGTGAGTTTCCTTTGTACATTTAATCGCCTTTTTTATCGTTACATTCATTTGTAATTTCCATAGAATCATTTCTGATTACGCAATCATAAATTTCCTTTTAGTTTTCACCGCATTGTAACACGTTGTACTCAATAAAAACTGGAATGAGACGGATGTGTATATGTGGTTGACACTCAACGTAATCCCAACACTTGGGTACGCGACACAGGTAGTCTACACCTAAGCTTTAACATTAACTGCCCAACAATATTCTGAATTTCTTTTAAGTCAGTTACAAGGCTGTCAATGAGTTTCGAAGTTATAGGCAGTTAAGAAAAAGTAGGTGGCCAAATAATAGAGCATGAGACAAACCGAAATTGAAATTTCAACTTAACAGAACAGCTGTATATTCTTTTTTTCATGCAAAAGCAAAATGACGCCATTGTTTTACATAGTTACTCCTAGATTGAAAAACTGGAAGTCCCAGCCTCAAATCCTCCCCTCTTTCACACAACTGGATTTGTTTTTTAGTAGTCCAAAGATTGGATTCTTTACTATGCCTTGAGAATTAATGATGAAATAGTTTCCCCTTTACCAGTAAGATCTTCATAAAAATGATAAATTTATATCTATGTTCCATTTACTCGATTTTGTTGTACATTCATAGTGTACCCAATTAGCTTAAGGGTACTTCTTTAGAAAAAGAAATTATTTACTTAAGGTTCCACTGGACCTCAAAACCAAATAACAGAAAGTTGCTTGTTTTGGATGGCTTCAAAGGCATCATCTTAAAGCCATCGGTATACAGTGCACTAGAAAAGTGCATGCATGTTATACTGAAAAATATGTGTAATTGTACATGAAGCAAATCACCAATCTAAAACAATACTTGAGCTCTGTAATGCTTTTGAAGTTTGTTTGCTTTGACTGAGATATCTACTGTTCTTTTGGCTTGCTGCTTGTTTTGTAGCCTGACATCTTTGACTTTTTGACGTGATACACTTCCAATGGTGCCATGCCAACCAAGGGCTTTATAATCAGCAACAATTTTGTGGATCACTTTTGAATGACGACTTCTTTCTGGAGGCAGGCTTTGCTTGTAGATATGACGCAAATTACGGTGACCAATTTTAGCCCCTGAAGGCAAGCAAAGTTCCAATGTCTGTTCATCAACTGCTAATGTGTTATCTCTTTCAATTTCATCCCTGCCATTTTCTTCATTGGGATCATAATCAGGGTAACTACTGGTGAAATCATAAAAATCAGCATACTCCAAAATAGCATCTCCTTCATAGTTGATTTTTGTGTGGCCCTTATCAACCATGTGCTTCTGTACAGCTTCGGTAGAAAAGAAGTTCTTTCCCTTCTCATTGCAATAAAGACAGATGTTGCCAATTCCAACCTTTTCACCAAGGTAGGTTAGAAGTCCTTTGAAGTCCACCACAAATTCCAAGTCAGGTATGAAAAAGCTATGAGATCGTGTCATGTGTCTCATGTTGTCTTCCAAACTGACGCTGTGATGCGGACAAAACAGACAATCTGTGATCTCCAGCGCTTCTTCCTCAAAGTCACTGCCATCATCGTCATCTTCATCACTAGATGAGTCAGCATTTTCAGATATACTATTCTGTTTTCTTATCTCTTGCCTCTCCAATTCTACTTTTTCGGCTGAAAGACCTTTCCTCGTCATAATTTCCTCCTTTCTAGCTTTAGCGGTCTCCAATTCTTTATGTTTCTTGGAACTCATGTGATTCGTAAAGGAATTCTCAGAGGAGAAAGTCTTGTTACAAAGCTGGCAGTTCATCGTTTTCGTTTTACTCTGCTGTTGTGCCTCAGCTTCGGCTTTTTGCTCGTTAACTTTTTGCTGGAAGACTTCTGCGGTAACAGGAGGCATTTCTGCGACTTTTCTCTTGAGATTGTACCGATGCCAGTCGGTTTTGTAGTGACGACGTTGAATTTCACCATCGGCAAAAGCAACGCGACATGTTATGCACGTAAACAACGGCATTTTCGCGTTATCTTACCTTTTAAAAACTCAGAGGAATCTTTTATAATCAGATACTCCTGGTAACAAGCGTAAAGATAATTCGGGCAGGGGCGAACAGGCAGAAAAACACAGAACTTCGATTACCTTCTACTATTGACACCAACGTGGTGAAATCCTTACGCAATATTGCACTGATATCTGGGTAATGTGAGTTGAGCCGCACAAATATCAGCGGTGTTATTAGTCATGGCGGCCATTTCGAAGATGAAACTTGTGTACATCCGGTATAAACTCATTCATTCCACCTAGCTTTGATTGATAACAAAATAGATGTCAGCGGGAGGCTTAACAGCGGATCAAAGGAGGAGAATTGAAGAAAATCGTCGAAAAGCTCTCGAGAAACGAGCGGCTCTTCAAAGTCAACGACAGCAGCAAATTGCGCCGTCAGTAACGGATGGAGCTGATGGCAAATTTGCTTCGAGTCGTATGGTTACAACCTCGAGAGAGGAACGTTGTCTATTTCCTCGGGGCAGCAGTATAAAGTCAAGAGAACCACAGAGACAGGTATCTTTGCAATCTAGAGAAAAATCGAGCTTGAATGGCTCAAACGTAAATTCACAGAACAATTCAGCAGACTCCATGGCCTCTGCATCTAAAACCTACAACTCAGCAGGATCGCTAAATTCTTTTCAGCGCTCGATCTCCAAATTTTATCGTCCGCAGACCTCTTCCTCTTCATTCGCAAGAAATTCTGAAACCAAATTCACTAGTCCATGTAAATCGTCTGGGGCTACAGCAACCACGACCAAATCAACTTCGTCAAAAATAAGCCCAAGAGCAGGAACATCAAAGCCAAATACTGGTAACGTTGTGAATTTTAAGGAGAATTCAGAGAAGCCAGTGAAGGGTAACTGTGCACTGATTAGCAGACAGAGATTTACAGTTTTTGTTCCTTATCAAGCACAGCTCATTGGAATTTTTAAAACTTTACCAAGCAGAAATTATGGTATGTTGACTTTCACAGTTAGTTTTCTTTATTGTAACCTGCAAACAGAGAGAATTACCACAAGGAAGATTTGGATGAAGATAGGAAATTGTACTTGGCTCAGATTGATATCTTACACTCTCTCCTAAATGGCCTCAGTGATATTTCATGCTTAAGTTCTACAATGGTTAATCAAAAAGTGAACTCAACACATGCACATCTTTTACCCACATAAACATTGCTTAGATGTTGTCCATTCCCAAGCGTCAACATTTACTTCCTTATTTATCTCTATTTTTAGATGCAAAGACAATGCAGTGGGACTTCTCTTTGACAGATTATGAAAAGCTCAGTATGTTAAACCAAGCTTTCTTAATTATTATCTTTCTTTGTTAACTGTAATTGGTTTAATTATGTGGTGCTAATCCTCTTCCCAACTCTATGGTGTATTAAATGAATGAACCAAATCACACTAAGGTGCTGGTCTAAAAACCTTGAGGCTGACAAAGGTTTTGTTGAAATTTCTGGGCTCAATTGTTCAAAGGCTAATTAGCACTAACCCAGGGTTAAATTTAATCCAATTTTTTATTCCTCTGCTCTTAAGCCTTTTTTGGGATAACTTTCTTTATCCAATCATCAAATTATAGAAAAGAGAGTTATACCAGTCTAAATTTCCTTTGAAGCTTTCAAATCTGAAATCAGAATTCACAGAAACCCTGGATTAACTTAACCCAGATTTGAACAACCCAGCCCTAAACCAAAGAGATGGATTGAAGATTCACCTTACTTCTTTTTGGAGTGGTGAATATCCTGCTAATATCTAACTTCAGTAAGTTAATCAGTGAATGTAGACATGATAACCTGAGTTGTGATCCATTATTGGTTTTTTATTTAATTGATGTGCTTGAATCAAGCAGAAGTTTACTAGCCCTTGCTAATTTTCAACTACAGTTTTAGCAGCCTTAATTCTTTACTATGTTCACCCTTTGTTCCATCGCAAGAGGAGGTAAAATTGTTCTTTAAACTCTATATGGATGTGATAACAGAAATCAAGTGTGATCTATTCAACAGTGCAAGCAGTTCAGTCCATGCCCCCTCATATTACAGTGGAAGGATTACCTAAAGCAGTGAGGTCAACTTTTTTAACTGCTACTCCAGGCACTCTGAAGGAATTGCCAACCAGTGATATCAATTTAAACTCTGTGGATTACAAGCTTGTTAAAGCACTGATGCCATTTCAAATAGAAGGAGTTAGGTCTGTTTTGTTTGGTTTGTGTTGTAGTTATAACAAATGTAGTGTTGCGTTCCTTGTCAAAATCATGACAAGATCATAAGATGTCACCAGAAGAAGATACAGCAGTTTTTTTGCTCATAAGGTAAACTGTTTTTTTCCAAGAAATTAATGTTTTCTGTTGAAAATTACTGTCAAAGTTTGGCTGTGTCTTATAGGCAAATGTTTTTTGGGAAACATAGGTTTCTGATTGCAGCTGTTATTTCTATTTTAAGCAAATATGAAGATAAGTGTCCACTTTGCTTTGACCATTTTTTCAGCAAACAATGGTGATCGTACAATTTTGTACAGTAACTAGTAAATAGAAAAAAAAAGTATGACTCAAATTGTTACACAAATTTGGACATGCTTAATAACACTTAGAACTGCAGACAGTATAACTGGATGGAATGTTAAGCCATACATCAAAATTCATGTGCTTCTGAGGATTTCCAAGAATAACTTTAAGAATTACGAATATCTTTTCTATCCATAACTTGCCTCTTAAATATTCTGTTTTATATTCTTTTCATTAGTTTTGGGATACGCCATGATGGAAGAGTGTTGATTGCTGATGACATGGGTCTGGGAAAGACTATTCAAGCAATCTGTGTTGCAAGCTATTATCGGGCTGAGTGGCCCCTTCTTGTTATTACACCATCCTCACTCAGAATAACTTGGCAGCAGGTACTTAGACAAGTGCAATTATTACAAGGAGAAAGAGACATCTAATTGTTAGAGGGAAGGAAATCAGTTTGAAATTGAGGGAGGGTCACTAATGTTATAGCAGAGGAAAAGGCATGACTTTATTAATTTATACATGGCTGATGAGTTTGAGGATGAACAGAAATGTGCTTAACCCTTTCACTCCCAATATCTAATTAGTAATTCTCCTTACTATCTGCCATACAATTCTTATGATGTTAGT